AAATTAAAGGTATCTTATATTTTTAGATATATTATTATAAAACATGCTTTAGTTAAGGAGTTATTGATACTTCAAGTGCAAAATGATGATATAAAACCTTGATAAAAATGTATTTTTAAGTACTAATCAGTGACCTACCTGATGAAGAATAAAACACGAAAAGGGTTTCACGAGTGATCTAATTGTTATAGGCGACCAGCTCGATAGGAAGAAGCAACGTGAATGATTTCACAAATGGTCTCATTTTCCAGGTGACCTACCCGATAAAGAATAAAACATGAAAAGGGTTTCACCAGTGGTCTAATTGTTCTAAGTGACTTGCCCGATAGGAAGAAGCAACGCGAAAGATTTCTCGAGTGGTCTCAATTTTTCCAGGTGACCTACCTGATGAAGAATAAAACATGTAAAGGGTTTTACGAGTGGTCTAATTATTCCAGGCAACTAGCTTGATAGGAAGAAGCAACGCGAAGGATTTCATGAGTGGTCTCATTTTTCCAGGTGACCTACCCGATGATGAATAAAAAACGAATAGAGTTTCGCGAGTGGTCTAATTGTTTCGGGCTACCTGCCAGATCGGAAGTAGAATCACGAAGGATTTCACGAGTGGTCTCATTATTCCAAGTGAACTTCCCGAGGGTGAAAAAACAAAGATTGTTTTAGAAGTGATCTCATTGTAATGGTTGACCTACCCAGATAAAAAAAGAAAGGAAAATAAGGGCTTGAAAGCGCACTCAAAAAAATGATTGAGGGCTCGAAGGTGCACTCGAAAAAGGCAAGGGCTTGAAGGTGTGCCCCAAAAGGGGTAAGGTTAGGAAATGCACTACCTTAGATTGTTAAGACAAGGTGGTGGAAAAATACAAAGAATTTTTTTTTGTTTAATTGTTGTGGATAGCCTGCCCAAGTTAAAATTTCTCAAAGGTGAAAATTTTTCAAAAGCATTTTCAAACTTGGCCATTTAAAGGTGGCCTTCCATTTAATGGATCTTTGTGTTGTTCTTATCTACTTTTATTTTTTGTCATTTTTCTTTGAATCGCCCTTTTTTCCATTGCTTTTTTAGGGCATACTAACTTTATCTTAGTTATCTCTCTTTCTTGTGATTTGTGCATGCCCCCTAGTCATTGAGTTTCTTGAGCTTTTTTGCTTTTTTGGTTTTCTCATAGTTTTTTCATCTTTTCTCATTGAAATTTTCACTTGCCCCTACCTAGTATGGGGTGTGATCCTAGTTGGGATTTCTTATGAAAGAAAAACTATTCAATGTTAAAAAGGACTGCAATGGATATACTTTTTAGAATATGAAAGGAATAACAAAGGAATAACCTTTCCTCTTTTAATCGTAAGCAATTAAGATCAATAAACTTTGGTCTTGTCCAATGTGATGCTTTAGTCTTTGCAAAGAGATGTATTTCATAAG